CTGAGCCATCCGCGGCCAGGTGGGCGCTGCGGGAGCGGCGCGGGGTTCTGGGAAGCAGCAGGGATAGGGGCGCGGGCGTGCGTGGGGGGCGCGGACTGGGCTTGGGGCAGCCGGGGCCTTCCCCCACCCCGGCCGGGCGACGGGGACAGGTCTTGGGGCGCAGGACGCCCCACTCCCCACTCTGGGGAACCCCGGAGTCTGGAGCGCTGCTGGCCGCGGCCTTCCCCGCGCGCAGGTAAACAGGAGCGGCGGCGGGGCCCTAGGGGGTTGGCGGGTGACGGCTGCCAGGTTGGGAGGCGGGGCGGGGGGGAGCGTGCTGCCAGCCGGCTGGGGTGAGGTAGCCTGGTTTGGGGGGGACCTGATGGGGACCTGCCGGGGGTATGGAAGATGGTGTTTGAGACCCTGGCGTGTGCAGTAGAGGGAGAGGGTGTCAGGCTGTGACACCCCGCTGTGACAGGAAGGGGGTGCAGGTGGACCGACCTGTGAGGGGGAGCAGGGACTGAGTGTTGTGGGTGACCCCTGCGCCTCTGTAGTGTATGTGTGCACGCGCGCGTGTTCATGTGCTGGGAGTTGGACTGTTTGTAGGACTTTGCGTGTGTCACACAAAGATCGTGTGACTGTGGTCAGCTTTGTGCTTGGGGCTCATGTGCGCGTGTGGCCGTGTGGATGACCAGTGTTAGCACTGCCCCGGGGGGCCAGGTGTGCATGGTGTGTGCACTGTGCAGTCTTCCCGCCAGGACCATGGGCATTCGGAGGTGTGGGCTGGCACTGGGTCAGTGATAAGTGCCTACAGCTGACTTTCTGGTTATGTGTCACTGTGATGGTGCCTGGGCTCCCTGTGGCTGTCCGGAAGCTGGGCTGTGCCTTGGGACCATGTGTAGAAATGGCTGGCTGAGCGAGGTGTGGGTGTGTGAGACTATGTGTGAGACGGAGCGGAGAGGTGAGACCCGGGTAGCTGCCTGGGAGGTGTGCAGCAGAGACTGGGTCTGGGGCTAATGTGGGAGATGGACTGGGTGTGGTGGTGCCCACCTGTAATCCAAGTACTCAGGAAGCTGAGGCAGGAGGATCTGGAGTGTGAGGCCAGCCTGGGCTTTATAGTGAGGTTGTGGCTCAAGAAAAAAGAGAAAAAAAGAAAAAAGGAGAGGGGAGGGACAACTGAGTGATGCACGGCTGGGGCTGTCCGGGGGTGACAGGCATAAAGCTGCAGCAGACTGCGTGTGGCGTGGTGGGATGTTTTACACTGGCAACACTGGGGTGGCCCTTGCTGGCTGTGTCACTGGCTTGTGTGTGGTATAACGCGCACACACTTCCACAGAGAGGGCCTCAGATCCAGACAGTACCTGCCTTCCAGCGACTCCACCCAGACTTCTGGCTTGACGGTGTAGGGGATGCGTATTCACTAGGAACCGTGCTCCAATGGTGAAGTTTGCTCTTTTCCCGGGCCACCAATATGTGCCACAGTCGTTTCTACCGATGCCAGGCAGTGGCCATGACAGCAGCTCCCACCCAGCCCCAGATCACAAGGGGAGACAATGAATAAGGGGCATTTTCAGGCTCGGATATTTTCAGTCCCCTTTGGGCTGTGGGGCAGGACCCATCACAGTTGGGGAGTGCGTGTGCACACACACACACACACACACACGCACGCACCTGTGCACAGCGAGCTAGTGGTGGTCACCAAGGGTCCAAGGCGTGGACACAGCTCCTGTGAAGCTGCCTGAGAAGAGGGTGGGTGAGGACACAGGACAAACCCCCCGCCCCGCTGATAGTGTAAGGGAGTCCGAGTTCCTCCCGTCTGCACGTGTGTATCTGTGTACACACAGGGTAGTTGTATGTGTCCCTCATGGCCAGGCCTGGGTGAAAATCACAGGTGTTAGAGGAAGCTGGGTCCTCCACAGGAAATCCTAGGTGTTTTGGAGGGGCTCAGGCTGCTTGGGAGTTGGCTGCTTGGGGGACCTTGTGAGTGGGTGGGGAGCAAGAGCCATAGATAGGAACAGAGAAATGATCTGGACAGGAGGGATTTGGGATTCAGTTATATTTTAGGAGTAAGGGCCGTGGGGGTGGTAAGACACAGTTTCTGTGTGTTGGATTTTCTTTCTTCTTGTTGATTTGAGACAGGGTCGCACTACATAGTTCAGGCTGGCCTTGAGCTCACTATGTAGCCCAGGCTGTCCTGGAAATGACAGTGATCCTCCTGCCTCAGCTTCCCAAATTCTAGGATTACAGAATGCACCACCACACCTATCTGGCTTTTATTTCTGAGAGGAGAATATATCTGTGTGTCAGGCTGTATTTCCAAGAGAAAAGTATACAGGTATGTCTTTCTTTCAGGTATTGTTTCTGACAGGAAAATATCTGTATGTGCCTGAGCTGCCATGTTGTGTAAGGTTATATTTCTGGAAGGAAAATGTGCATGTATATAAGTGTTTGTGTCGAGCTGTTGTTGTTTTGAAGTACTAGGGATTGAACCCAAGGCCTGGAACATGCTAGGTAATTACTGTACCCTGGAGTTACATCTCCAGCCCTTTTATTTTTTGAGAAGGGGGACTCCATAATATGCCTGAGCTGGGTTCAAACTTGTAATCTTCCTGCCTCAGCCTTCTAAGTAGCTGATATTATAGGCAAGTGCCACCACACCCAACATTGAGCTGTGGTTTTGGTTCATTTTTTTCTGTGTTTTTTGAGATAGGGTTCCATTATGTAGTTCAAGTTGGCCTTGAACTTACTGTGTGCTCCAAGCTGGCGCTGAACTCATGGCAATTCTCCTGCCTCACCTTCCCAAGTGCTGGGATTACAGGTGTGTACCACCTCATCTGGCTAAGAGCTGTATTTCTTTGTTTTGTTTTGTATTGAAACAGGATCTAACTATGTAGTTCAGACTGGCCTTGAACTTGCTATGCAGCCTAAACTGGCCTCAAACTCACCGCAAATTCCCCTTGGCTCAGCCTCCTGAGTGCTGGGATTACAGACACATGCCACCTTGCCCAGTTTGAGAGCTGTATTTTTATATGTGTGTGTTTTTGAGACAGGGTCTTGCTGTGCTGTTCAGGTTGGCCTTGAGCTTGCTTTTAACCCAGGCTGGTCTCGAACTTCCTCCTGCCTCAGCCTCCTAAGTGCTGGGATTACAGGTGTGCGCCACCATGCCTGGCTTATGTTGAATTTCTAATGACAGAAAGTGTGTGTGTAAGAGAAGGTGTGCGTTGTGCTGTATTTATAAAGTGTGTGTATGTGAGTTGCACCTCTGAGAGATGTGTGTCTGTTATGTCATCAAGAGGGTGTGTGCATGTGTCTCTGAGGAGCATGGGTGCCATTGAGGACCTCAGAGACACTTTAGCTGCACATCGGACCTGGGCTCCTCCACACAGCGTTGACAAATTCCATCTGTAAGACCTCCACCCAAAAGCCAGCTTCAGACCTTCAACTGTGACATCTGTGGGACACACCTGCCACAAGTGTGTCCCAACAGGCCTTGGGCTGGCGCAGCAGCCTGTGGTGGAGGGTGGAGCCCCTGTGTCCCCAGGGTCTGTCAGGCCCACAGCAGGGGGGGCTCCTCCTGTCCCCCAACCTAGAGGCTCTCCCGGCTTCCGGCGCCCAGCCGCTGGCCCTCGCCTCCGCCCCATCCGCCCCCAGTGGCCGGACTGGTTCCCAACAAAGGCACCCTAGGAATGAGCTCACGGGGAGGGAGGCGGCCGCCTCCACTCGCCCCGCCCGGCAAGCCCCGCCCTCCCGCCCGAGCTCTGGGCCGGGGCGTCTGGGGACCTGGGGGTGGGGAGGGCCGCCTGGTGAGCCGAAGCCGCTGGGGCACCTCGAGGCTGCTGCTTGCCCTCTTGGTTAACCCCACGTAGTAGGATTTTGGAGCTGTGGGCTCCCAGGACAAACTCAGGTAGACTGGGACGTTCCCGGATGAGCGCTTGCGGCGCCAGGTGTGGGGCCAGGCGCTGGCTGGGATGGACAGGGCGTGGCGGCAGGGGCGCGGCCTGGGTGGGTGACAGTGGCCGAGCTGGGAGGGGGACAGTTGGGGGTCCGTGGCTGGGGATGAGCTCGCCCGGCCCTGCCAGTGACTCCTCCATCCTGTGTCCCCTTCCCCCAGAAGTAGCCATGTCCGTGCAGGTGGCCGCCCCCGGGGGCGCGGGGCTGGGCCCTGAGCGTCTGAACCCGGAGGAACTGGTGCGGCAGACGCGGCAGGTGGTGCAGGGGCTGGAGACCCTGCGGGCGGAACACCGCAGCCTGGCGGGGCACCTAGGTGAGGCGCTGGCCGGACAGGGCCCCGTGGCCGGCTTGGAGCTGCTAGAAGAGAAGCAGCAGGTGGTGAGCCACTCGCTGGAAGCCATCGAGCTCGGACTGGGTGAGGCCCAGGTATGAGTGGCCAGGTGCGGGGCTCAGGCCTGGGAGGGGGGACTGGACCCTGGGAAGAAGGGAGCAAGTCTGGATAGCAGGTCTGGGGAACCAGGCCTGGAATGAGGCTTCAGGCCAGGCCAGAGATGGGGTCCTGGACAGCATTCTAGGGTGACCGTGTGTGTGGTACCAAGGACTGCACCCAACAGTGCTCTATAGCTGAGCTACATTTTTGTATTTTGTCTTTTGAGATAGGGTCTCGCAGAGTTGCCCAGGCAGGATTTGAACTGGCAATCCTCCTGCCTCAGCCTCCCCACGTGCTGGGATTATGGGTGTGCACCATCATCCCCAGCTAGAGGATGCTTTTGTGTGTCCCAGGCACCCCCAAACCAGATGGGCCCCTCTTGTAGAACTGAGAGTCCTGGGGCGACTGTGGGGTTTAATGGGTGGAACAGGCAGGGAATCCTGAGGGGCCCAGGGTGCGCCCAGGCACCCCTGGAGCCACCTGAACAGAGCCTGCAGAATCTGGGTGTCCTGGATAGACTGGGGTGCTCTGGCCTGATGGGGGAGCCCAGGCTAGGCCAGGGCTGACTGGCCGGATTGGAACGGGCGGCTCCCTGCCCACAAGGTGCTGCTGGCCCTGTCGGCGCACGTTGGGGCGCTGGAGGCCGAGAAGCAGCGGCTGCGGGCCCAGGCGCGGAGGCTGGCGCAGGAGAACACATGGCTGCGGGAGGAGCTGCAGGAGACGCGGCAGCGGCTGTGGGCCAGCGAGGCGGCCGTGGCCCAGCTGGAGGAGGAAAAGAGTCACCTACAGTTCCTGGGGCAGCTGCGGCAATACGACCCGCCTGAGGAGAGCCAGGTGCTGGGGCAGGGTGGGCCCCAGAGCCTCCCACTGTCCCTGACCCTGAGCTCCCAGACCTCAGCCACAGCAGGAGCCCAAGTCACCTGGCCCCTCAGAGCTCCACAGAAACCCCCAAGTCTCCAGGAGACCAGAGGCTCCAGATCAGCAACTCCCCCAAGCCCTGGGGCTGGCTGGGACCCCAACTCTGAGGCAAGCCCCAGAGTCCCAACTCCCTACTCCTATCCTGCAGCGGCCAGAGTCACCCCCTCGCCGAGACAGCCTGGCCTCCCTATTCCCCAGCGAGGAGGAGGAGCGGAGAGGTGGGTGTGCAGACCCTGCAGGACAGCAGGCCGAGGCTGTCCCCATCTCGACCTGGAATGGGAGGTCAGGAGGACCAAGCTAGTGGCCGGTGGCAACAGGGAGGACAGCAGGCAGGGGAGGCTGGAGGCCGGCAAGGCAGGTGGGCCCCATGACCTTGACCCTGTGAGCCAGGTGGGCTCCTGATTCACATCCCACTGGGCAAGGGGGGAGGCATTTCTGTCCCCCTGCCAGGACTGATCCCACCAGCCACTTTCACGCCTGTGATTCCCATCTCAGAAGGCAGAGCAGGAGCTGGGCTTGGTGGCCCACACCTGTAATCCCAGCACTCTGGGAAGCTGAGGCAGGAGGTGGCAGGTTTGAACCCAGCCTGGGCAACTTAGCAATTTATCAAGACCCATCTCAAACAAAAAAAGGTGGGTACTGGGGGTGTAGCTCAGTGCAAGGCCCTGGATTCAATGCCTAGAACAGAAAACAGAGAAAAAGTCAGTTCAGGACCCACAGTCCCAGTGAGGCCACTGTAGTGCAGAAGCCTTTAGTGACTCAGTGCCACCTCCCCCAGGTCATGAGGCAGCAGGGGTGGCAGCAGCACAACAGGGTGGCTACGAGATCCCCGCTCGGCTTCGGACCCTGCACAACCTTGTGATCCAGTACGCGGCCCAGAGCCGCTATGAGGTCGCTGTGCCTCTGTGCCGCCAGGCCTTGGAAGACCTGGAGCGCAGCTCGGGCCACTGCCACCCCGACGTGGCCACCATGCTCAATATCCTGGCCCTGGTATACCGGTGAGGGCTGCAACTGACTGGGCAGGGACAGGGACCCATATAGGGACCCATATGGGCAGCAGTAATAGGACCCTGGTGTCTCCTCTGTCATTACAAAGCACTTGGGGAGGCTGCAGGGTGAGGGATGGAATGGTGACAGGAAAATTGGGGGAGGGAGGGCTGGATATCTAGGGATGTGGCTGAGCCTCAGGCCAAGAGGACTCAGAGCCAGGCAAGGTGTGATCCCAGGCTGGGGCAGGAACAGCACAAGTTTGAGTCCAGTCGGGGTGACTTAGATAGAGACCCTGTCTCAAATAAACAAGAGCTGGAGCCAGGCATGGTGGTGCACGCCTGTAATCCCAGCACTCAAGGGGCTGAGGCAGGAGGATGGTTGTGAGTTCGAGACCAGCCTAGGCTACAAACTGAGTTTGAGGCCAGGCTGAACTACAAAGTGAGACTTTGTCTCAAAAAGACAAAACAAAAGCTTGGATGTAGTTCATTGCAAAGGCCCTGGGCCCAATCCCTGTACTGCAAAACACCAAAACAAAACACAAACCAGAGTGTGGGGGCCAGAATCAGGTTCCTGACAGAGGTTTGGCTAGGTCTTGGGAGACAGAGCCCAAAACTGGGCACCTCAGGCTGCCACCCATGCCCTGCTCAGCCTGTGGCCCCAGCCCGGCCAACCCCCTCTGCCCATGGCCTCGCAGGGACCAGAACAAGTACAAGGAAGCCACGGACCTCCTCCACGATGCGCTGCAGATCCGGGAGCAGACACTGGGCCCCGAGCATCCTGCGGTAAGTGGGGTTCTGGGAGTAAGAACGCCTGGTCCTGTCCACCTGTAACTCGTACTGGCCCTCGCCCACAGGTGGCCGCCACCCTCAACAACCTGGCCGTCCTCTATGGGAAGCGCGGGCGATACCGGGAGGCAGAGCCCCTGTGCCAGCGTGCCCTGGAGATCCGGGAGAAGGTGCGGCCCTCCTGCCCTGCAGACCCATCCTGTGTGTCCTGCCCCTTGCTTTTGTCCTGGGCACCTGTAGCGACCCGCTCCCGCTGCACCTCTGGTCACGAGCCCTGAGCCCCCAGCCCCACAACCCGCACCCTTGAGCTTCTGAGTTCCATCTGGTTTGAGCTCAGCCTGACCTCTCCCGCCCTCCTGTGTCTCAGCCTGGCCCTGCCCTCCCAACCTCGTGTGACCATTCAACCCCCCACCCGACCTGTCCACCTGACTGGCATCCCTGGGGTTTCTGGACCACGTGACCCTGATCTCCGTACCCCCAGCCCATGTTACTCTCCACCTTGAGGCACCAGTTCCAAACTCGTGACCCTACTGTGGCAGCGACATCATGTGGCCGTGATTCCTTATGACCCCAACCCCAGGTCCTGGGCGCCGACCACCCGGATGTGGCCAAGCAGCTCAACAACCTGGCCCTGCTCTGCCAGAACCAGGGCAAGTTTGAGGATGTAGAGCGGTACTTCGCGCGGGCCCTGAGCATCTACGAGGCTGTGGGGGGGCCCAACGACCCCAACGTGGCCAAGACCAAAAACAACCTGGTGAGGGCCGCAGGCTGCAAGCGGCCAATGGGCTTGATGAGCTCTGGTACCCGGGTGTCCAGCAGTGGGAGACTGGTGCTGGAGGGCGAGTCACCTGGGAGCTGTCCCAGGGCCTGAGCAGGAGGCCCCCAGGCGGGAGGACCAGAGCACCAGGCACAGCAGGGCAGGCACAGGACGCCAGCGAGGTGGCCGGGACAGTGCAGTCCCAGATCTTTATTAGCTCACAGCGGGCAGCCCCGTTCTTACTTAGCACTTTGCCCTCTGAGGTAGGAGCTGCGGTCACTGCCAGTTGGCAGAGGAGGAGACTGAGGCACACAGGTGTGTCCCTAGCAAGGGACAGCAGGGACAGGAAGCCACCTGCACTGGTCCCCCAGGCGCTGAGGCCAGCTGGGCTCCAACCTGCTCCAGGCTGAGCATCTGCCCAGGGGATCAGGAAGCCTGGCTTCCTCCTGAGCACCGGAAGGCCAGGCTGGGCTGGAGGAGGCGGGACCACTGGCCGGGGGTCCTGAGATGCCCCAGCAGCACCAGACCGCCGCCCCGCCCTCCGCAGGCCTCCGCCTACCTGAAGCAGAACAAGTACCAGCAGGCCGAGGAGCTGTACAAGGAGATCCTCCGCCCCGAAGACCTGCGCGCCCCGCTAGGTGAGCTGCACCCTCCCTGCTGCCTCCCAAGGGGCTTCTGGGCTGTGTCCCCACCTCATGTCCCTATCTGTCCCCCAGGAACCCCCAACACAGGCACAGCTGGTGATGCAAAACAGCAGGTGAGAAAAGGCTTGCTTGGGCTCCTGGGGTGGGACTGGCCATGTCTGGGGGGAACCAACGAGAGTCCCCCACACCGTCCGCAGGCCCTTCCTCGGAGCAGCTCGTTCTCCAAGCTGCGGGAGTCCATCCGGCGGGGGAGTGAGAAGCTTGTCTCCCGGCTCCGCGGCGAGGGCGTGGCAGGGGCGGCGGGGTGAGAGCTGCTCCAGGTCCTCGGGGAGCCCTGGCGCGGGCAGGGTCTCAGGAACCCTCTGGGCTCCCGTCTCCCTCTGCAGGGCTCCTTCCCCGAGTGGGGCCCGACATTCCTGGGGCTCAAGTGTCCCTTCTCTGGCCCTGTGCTGCAGGATGAAGAGGGCCATGTCACTCAACATGCTGAACATGGATGGGCAGAGGGCTACCGGGACTCAGGTGAGGGGGCGTGGGCAGGCGGAGGTGGGGCAGCCAGTGACAGCTGATCTCTGCCTGTCCCTTGCTCACCTCCGTGCTTGTCCCCAGCTCCCCAGCCGGGCCCTCAGTGAGGCCTCCAGGACCCTCAGCGCCAGCACCCAAGACCTGAGCCCCCGCTAAGGTGGACGGGACCAAGTCACTGTGGCCTCTGAGGAAGAGGCAGGGCGGGTGACATCCATCTCATGCACACCCTGACACCCTGCCTGGGCCCACAGAGTGGGTTTCCCACCTGCCGTCTCTTCCTGTGATTAAATTCTGTAGATGTGGCAATGTGAAATGTCTGCCTGAGGGTTTCTGCCAGGACCTCCAAGCCCCAGTCAGTGGACTTCTGAGCCAGGCAAGGCCGGGAGTGGTGGGAGCACCTTAATACCAACCCTCAGGAGGCTGAGGCAGGAGGATCACCTCAAGTTTGAGGCCAGCCTGGGCCACATATTGAGTTCAAGGTCAGTTTGGACTACATAGTGACATCCTGTCTCAAAAAAAGAAAGAAGGCAAAAAAAAAGTCTCAGGAATCACCTGGACGCTTTTGTGCCGCACCTGCATTCACAGCTGCTGAGCGATCTGCTCTATCCTCCGCAGTGTCTCCTCCGACTCCAGCTGCTCCAGGCTGAGCAGGGACAGGCCCAGCTGGTCTTCCTGCAGAGGACAGAGGGAGGAGGGGGGCAGGCAGGACTCAGACAACAGCTCCACAGCACCCATCGGAAGCTACAGTCTTAAGACTTGAGGGCCAGGAGGTGGGAGTTTGGAAATGTCCTTAAAATCCACAGTGGGCAACCCTGTAGTAGAAGACAGGCCGAGGGAGCGGGTGGCAGCCATCTCACCCCAGCTCCCCAGCCTTCCCCACTCGGGGCTCACAGGGCTATGGCATGGGGGTGGCATCAGGCTCACCTGGTGGAAGGGCTGCGCCATCTGCCTCAGGAAGTACTTGGCCACCTGGACCCCCTCGTCCACCGTGAGGTTGAGGTTGGCGTCAGTGAGGTGCTCCTGGATCCAGCGTGGCAGCTTCCCCCGCTTGTCTGCCCGGGCAAAGCGCTTGCAGCAGGAAGGAGCGGGTGTCAGGCCATGGGCTAGGGGGCCTGGCTGCCCCTGCCCCTGCCCTTCAAGCCTCCCCAGTCTTAGGAAGATGGCTTAGAGGTGAGGGCAGGGTGCAGGGCCCCGAACCCCTACCTTGTCCGCGAACACCATGAGGCCATAGTCTGTCTTGCCCCGGATGGCCCGGCCCACGCACTGGGCCGCGTGGCGCATGGCGTCGAAGGTGAGGAAGTCATTCTCCCGGATCTGGAACTGGTCCCGCAGGTACTCCAGGCGCGCCTGCGGGTCAGGGGTGAGAACTGACAGGAAGTTGCCCTGCCCTCCTGTGCCGCCCGTACATCCCGGTGTGGCTGTGTCTGGCCCAACACGCACCTTCAGAATGCGGCTCTGGGTGTAGACGTAGGGGACGCCAAACATGATGACAGCCCGCCCGTAGTGGTGCACTGCAGCAGAGGGCCAGGGTTAGGGGCGAATGTGGCCCCGGGTGCTGCACTGCAGGACCCCAGAGGCCAGGCCCACTCACCAAAGTCGATCCCCTCAGACACCTTGCCACGGGCCACAGACAGCAGGATGGCCCCGCGGCCGTTCTCGCAGGCCTGGGGTGGGGGACGGAAGCGCAGGCCACGTCACTCCTGTCTGCGCCGCACAGCCTCGGCATCCCCCGCCCCCGGCCCCAGACGCACCTCCTGGTACTTCTCCAGGGCCACGCTGGTCTCAGCCCCATCCTGGGTCTCGATGAACAGCAGCTTGTTCCTCTGGATGTTTTCGAGGATGCCCTGGGGAGGGGCGGGGCGGGGCTGGGCTGGTGGGGCTTGGGCACAGCAGTCCTGGCCAAGCCCCCCTTGCCACCCACTCCGTGTGAGGGCTGCTTCTCTCCCGTCAGCCAGCCCACCCGAATCACAGTGAGGGAAGGGATAGTGGTCCGGACACCAGGCCAGCGGGGGTGGGCACGTGGCCCGGGAGGAGGGGGGCTGACTGTGCCAGGCAGAGCCTAGGAGAGGCTGCTGAGTTTACGCCCAGCCCTGCAGCAGCGGGGGACACCCCGGGAGCCCCTGTGCAGTGAAGTGGGGAAAGCCCTCAACAGAGGGCACAGAAGCAAGTGGGTCTGCAAATGGGAAAGGGTGAATCTGACTCTGCCTCACACCTTCCCAAAATGAGCTCCAGGAAGCTCACACAGGCGGGCAGCAAGGACGTCGGACTGCTGGGGGGAAACTCTCAGGGTCTTAAGTGGAAGACAAATGGCCCGTGGGCCCAGGTGACCCTGAAGGTCCTCTTTCTCACTGTGCAGAAAGAGCCAGTGTTGGGCTGGGAGGTCCCTGACACCCGGACCAGCCCAGTTCACCAGGCAGCCGTGCTGGTCCTCTGGTCCTCGCCCAGCTGGAGTCTGGCGGAGGAGCCTAAGACGGAGGCTCCCAGCCGGGTGACTCTGGCTGCCAAACGCCTTTCCTAACAGCAGCCTCTCACACAAGCATGAGCCGGGGGCACCGACACTGGGAACCCCAAAAGGGCCACGTAGTGCGCGTGTGGTCGCCTCCCCTGTGTGTGCCTCTGAGGAAGTACCAGGCAGGCTACTGGCAGGGGCAGGGGTGGGGTGGGCGCCACCAAGCTATAGACCATTCACATGTCCTAGACGCTGTGCTGTGACGGGACATGTGCCCCCCACTGAGAAGACGACGCGGAGGCAGCAGCAGGAGCAGAGGAGGGCTGCGTACCTGCTCGTACCAGGAGGCCACGGTGGTCTCCATGTACTGGTAGCTGGTGAAGAAGGCCACGATGCCGTCGGGGACCACGGCCGACATCTCCAGCAGGAGGTTCCCGTAGTTCCGGATCACCGCTGCAGGGGGCCAGAGGTCGGACCCTCTCCTGCCCGGGGCTTCCCCCCACTTCCCAGCCACTCCACTGAGGCCGTGTGGAAGGCAGCTCCCGCACACCCCTCCTCTCCTCCCCAGCCATGGAGGGCTGTCTCAGGCTTCTGAAGATAGCAGTGGCCACGTGACTTGTCACAGTCAGTGACCTGAGTGCAGAAGTGGCTATGTCACTTGCAGGTGAGCGCCCTGAACAGACCACGATCCACTGCGGTCACATGGGTCCTCCTGTCACCATTCCCAGGTCCCCCACAGTACACAGGCACCAAGGGCAAGGAGAAACTGCTCGGTGGGGACATGGTGTCTGTGGCAGCGTGACCTTGCCGATATGAACCCCTTCCCGGGACTCACAGAGGGTACCCAGGCTTCATACCAATATCTTCCCGGGTCTCAAATTTGGAGCTGATGGCCACCTGGTCATTCCCGCGGCCGATGATCTGGGGTGAGCAGAAGGTCCTGATGAGTGAGGCAGTGGGCTGAGCGCTGCTAGCCTGCTCCTGCCCCTCAAAGCGTCAGTGTCGCTAGCGAACCCTCAGCCACCTTTTACCTGCATCCCATGGACAGGTGACTGGGCTCAGAGTAGGTGAATCACCTGCCTAAGGTCACAAGCAAATCAACACCAGAGAGAACTGAACCCGAGTCAGGCCTTCCTCCTCCCCTGCAGGCTCCAGCCAGGCCGGTCTCAGGCCAGACAGTTTTTGAACACTGTGTCCACCATAGTATCTCCACTGGCGGCCCTCTCCACCATCCTGCCGGGGCAGTCATTGCCAGTCCACAGGTCCGGATGGGCAACTCCAAAAGCAGGAGCTTAGAAAACTTTTTCTTCTAAGCTTGGCACAAAGGAGACAGGGAATGTAGCCCAGTGGTGCAGTGCCAGCCTGGCAAGCACAATGTTCTGAGTTCGAGTCCCAGCACCCGCAAAAAGAAAAAACACTGGCACAAAGTCAGTGGTAAAACCTGCCGCAAGTGTGTAGCGGCCTGACTCACCCCTCTGTGTGACCCTTCCAAAGTGCTAGAACTCTCCTAGCCCTCTTCAAAACCCTTTGAAACACAGCCAGGCCTGGTAACACAAGCTTGCAATCTCATCACTAATGCCAGCACTCTGGAGGCTGACGCAGGAGAATCTTTGTTCCAGGCCAGCCAGGGCTACCCAGTGAGTTGATGGCGGGGCTGAATTACACAGCGAGATCTTATCTTAAAGAAACAACAGCCGGGCATGGTGGCACATGCCTGTAATCCCAGCACTGGGAAGGCTGAGGCAGGAGGATTGCTGTGACTTCAGAGCAGCCTGGGCTACAAAGTGAGCTCAAAGCCAGCCTGAACTGCATAGAGAGACTCTGTCTCAAAAAGACCAAAGGGAAAAAAAAAAAAAAAAGAAAAAAAAAGAAAGAAAAAGCGAAAAACAAAACCAAAAATACCCCTTTGAAACAGAAGAGGCTGTAACCAGCAGGGGCTGCCCAGACCTGGGTGGGATGGTACACACTGCTCAGCGGGCGCCTCTTTTTTTGCCAGGCCCGGACAATGTGAGTGTTTTACAACTTTTATCTCTAAATCCTCTCCCAGGCCCCAGAGACCAGGTGACATTCTCACCTCACAGACAGCTGCCTGAGGCCGGGGAGTCACCCCACGCTCTCATGGGGAAAGCTCTCCCACGTGCACAGGGCAAAAAGCCGAAGGCGGCCCCTCACCCATCCTCCCACTCACCATGGGGCAGAGGCAGACCCGGGCCAGCGTCATGGTGAAGGTTGCCATGGTGACAGGGTGGAAGTCCAGGATCTTGGGGTAGATGTCCAGCGGGGACAGTGTCTATAATGGAGACAGAGGAGGGCTCTCAGCAGCACTGGGCAGGGAACAGCACCCCCACAGTAAAGGGCTGGGGACTGCAGCAGACAGAGGAAGGGGCCTTACCCCAGAGGTGATGATGACGGACTGGAAGCGCTCAAACACTGGTTTGATGGCCAGGGAGGCGTCCATGCAGCTGCAGGGACAGACACAGCACTGAGGACCAAGCCAGGTGGCCAGGATGCCCCCCGGGCCACTCCTGCCCTCTCGGGCCAGGGTCCCACCTGAAGTGCAGGACGGGGTTGGCAATGGTCGGGGTCCTGTCGTCAAAGGGCTCGATGATGATGGTGAACCCTACAGGGCAGGCAAGGGCAGGTGAGGACCTCACTGGTCACAGCCACACCCAGACCCTGTCCCAGTGAATACCTGGGACCGAGCCCCGCCGTCCCAGCCTCAAACCCAGCACTGCGTCCGGAACACACCCCGGCCTGCCCTGCAGCGCCCACCTCTGTGCACAGGTGTGTGGGCAGAGCCCAGGGCGCTCTCAGCTCCCCAGCTCCGCCAGCATCGAGGGCATCCAGAGGGCCCAAGGAGCCCA